AACCGAACTCCTCCCTGCAAGAACCCAGCTGTGAACCGGTATTTTTATATCAGGCAAGGACGATGAACAGATTGCCATATTCATGTCGTCGTAGTGGAAGGAATTCATATCCAGCCAATGTTGCAAGTCTGCCTCAATATCGGCTGACCGGAGAATTTCGTAGGTTACAGGATCACGTCTTTCTCTGTTTATAGCTGCTTCCCACACTTTTCGAGTCTTCTGGTGTTGCGAGGCCTCGAAGTCATTGAGGCAAAGTAAAGAACCGATGTCGTCGCGAAGCGACTTGTCACCAATTACAATCTCCTGTGCCATGACCTTACTGTCCTTTCTGATAGCTGCAAAAGCACCAAAAATGGAACTTCGAACAGCCACACAGTTGGTAATGTACGGCACTCGTTGGAACTTGACATCTTTACGTTTTATACCGTTCGATCCAGAAAACCCAGTCAGCTTGCCTTTGGTGCGTTTGACTCGGTTCCACACAGCCCCTGACTCTGTACAGATGATGACTGAGCCATCTTCTCCGACTCCAACAGAGGCAACACCATCCTTGCGGGAGTCCCAGATGCATTGCGGCTGCGTTAGCGCATTTTTAATTTTGACGGGGTTAGTGGTGGAAGCAACAGATTGGCTTAAGTCCCCCTTCTCGTTGAGATGCAGTGTAAAAAGGTCTCCGCGAGCAGTTACCGCCGCTATTGTTTCACCACCCGCAGTAATAAAATCGATCTCCCTTCGACCTCCTGACTCGTAGCGTGTCATGGTGATGTTGTTTGCAAAGACATCGGGGAACGGGAATTTCACCAAATTATAACCATAGTGGCTAAAGACCCAGACAGTATGGTTGGACAGCAGACATATGGTAGCTTTGTCAATAGCGGATACCATCTCAATCGGGGCCGCCAAAAGTGAAGCAGCAACTTTCCGGGGGGTATGTTGGATGTCGAGAGATCTTGAATCAGCGTCCATCAGAGCGAGCTGTCCTACATTCCGGCCCCAAGTAAACAGAGATGCTCCTGTGTGGGCGACTGAATGGTTTGCAGAGGCAGCAACCCCCAGAACGATTTCCTTCTTGAGAGACCCAAAGACTTGGCGTGGGGTAAGGCTCATGGGCTCCTCATCTACCTTCAACGGGGCAGGTAGAGCATATCCAAGCTGCGAAGCAGAATTAAGGCCCCATGTCCAGAGTTCTCCATTGTCAGCGACAGCCATTGTATGGTTTTGGCCCAGCGCCACTTGGTGAATTTTCTTATCCAAGAATGGGCCTTGAACAGGAACAAACTTGAACTGCGTGTTCTCGTCTCCTAATCCAAGTCGACCTCCACGACCAACGCCGCAAATGTACAGATTTGATACCGAATCGGTGGTCAAAATGGCGCTGTGCAGTTTGGACATGCACACATCTTGAATGACAATAGGACGGTTCCTGACCAAAGTCGGTATCTCATCCAAATTAAGTGAAGATGGCGCCTCGACATCCTGATCTTCCAAATGAGAATGATAGAATCGGTGCACAAGAAGGTCGGGTCTGGAGAGGTGAATCCGGTCAGGATACTGACGATCATCTTCATCTCCAACTCCAAGAGACCGATTCTTGTTACTGCCAAAAACAAAAAGCTCATCGCCATCGATCGATTTTCTCGACCCATGCGAAGCTTTTACCATGCTAGGATAATAATTAGTCAAACCCAACAAGAGAAAACCACTATTGCTGCTCACGTATGGAAATCATCGCCCCCACTGTCAATGCTTTCACCATCGCTATCAGAGCTGTTTCCATCTTCCATGCTCTTCAACGACCTTGCGGCGATCGTCGAGTTGTAAACGTCAAAAGGACTGTTGCCCTCATGGTCTTTGGTCTTAATTAAAAGACCTACTTTGTTCACAGCATTCAAATTATGGCTCGTCAAGTCGACTCGTTCCTGTTCCAACAGCAAGCGTGCGATTGAAATATTTCCAGCATATAGAGATCGATGGAGGGCGTTCCAGCCACTCTCAGGATCTTGGACATAAAGGTCGATCGCGGGGTGCTCGATAAGGGCTCGGACAAATTCGTGGGCGTTTGGGTCGGTAGAGGAGGCGGCACGGAGAAGGACTGTAAGTCCAGCATGATCGCGGCTGTTGACTTCGGTTCGTCCAAGATGCGTGTTGTTATCCCTTGGTTTGCCCGGTGTCTGCGGATGGCCAGATGCACGCCGTTGCTTCGCTGCAGGTCGTGGAGAAGTCCCAGGAAGACCAGGGCTTCCTCCAAAAAAGCTACCTGATCCTCCTACCGCGGGACTCTTTGAAACGGGCTGAGCATTGTAGCTGGTTGGGGCCAGCAGACGCCGAAATCGGTCGACATCGTTTTCCCAGTAATATTTCCACAGTAAGTGACTCATGGGCAGGGGACAGGACAAGCAGACTCTCCCGGGCGCGAAAGGCACCTCGCTGTGACTCTCGATGGGTCACGGCTTGTTTAAAGGTGCAATTTGAAGCGCAGGAGAGCTTGAAGTAGTGACAGGCTCCAATAAATCTGGGACGTGATGCTGTTGGCGCAAGATAAATTGCGATAATTGTCTTTGGTGTAAGTTGCCACCGAGCGTGGATTTGATGGGCGACGGGGTAAAGCAGAAAGGGGTACTGATCGGTTGTGCTTCGTTTCGAGTCGCGATTCTTCGATTAAAAAGTTGTTCGATAATGTGTAGCAGTTAGAGTCGTATTTGATGAGTCGAAATGATGAGGAAGGATCGGATCTATCGGGTTAAAAGGGTAAAGATGCGATGTCATAAACGATTTTGAGACTCTCTATTCAAGGTACGGATAGCGAGCCCTGGAGGGGCCAATTGTGCGCGTCAGCAAGTGCCCGCCTTAGAACCTTCCATGAACGTGCCCCAAAAAACGTGCCATGCCCCAATAGCGACAGGACCTACCCCACCATGCAACTGCATGCAATCACTGTCTTCAAATTAAACCAATGATGGCTCTTCTCTTCAAGGTGTGCAGCTCAAACCTCTACAACATAATCTGAGGCTTCACCACATGGCTTCGATAGATGCCTTTCATTTGTCGCTCATGATTCTTGCCACTGGTATCGTGCGTGCTTGGCAGAACAACCACTTGTCTCTCGCGGCTTACCCAAGACACTAAGAGGAATCATCAAGGATTGATGCTCTTGTGCTGCACACATCAAACGTCGTGAGCTTTTTAGTTGCTTGGGTACTCCAATATCCCATCGCAAGTCAGAGAAATATGGCAACAACTTGATATATGCCGAGTTCTCTCTTGGTCAAGCGAGGCATTCAAAGCCATGTATCGAGTAAATCGTGCTTCTCTCAGAGATGTACGGACTGGCGCATCAGGTTACATGCATCATCTCCGGATACCCGTGGCCATGATGAGGTATGGTTTATCAGCTGTTTCGAATTAGGCCTCCTACCGTATTCATCGGGGGGGGGGAAGCCAGCACAGACAATACTCGGGAAAATCATGTCCTTCGATGTCTGCTACTGGCTTTGCGGGAACCGAGGGCTGAAATGAATAGCATCTGGTGTTTTTGAAGGATGCGCAATTCCCCTCAGTCCTTTCAGATCTCTGAAACAAACCAGTCGAACTACGGCTCTACGGACAGTCCTGGCTTATAACAACAGGTACTCTGTACACTTGCGATTCGACCTAGACTATAGCTGGTATGGTACTGTCAGGGTTATCTCATCTTGTCCATCACCGGTCAAAGTGCCCGATCCGCTCGGTCGACGGGATGGAGGCCGGTGCACGGTGATCGAAATCGTGGGGTAAAGGAATCAAGGATGTTCATGCTCAGCTACCTACTGCGAACGATGCACAACTCTCTTCAGGAAGTTGTGTGTCGAATTGAAATATTCTATCAGTATTCTTGATAGCGGTAAGGTGGTTCGAGATTTTAAATGAGACACTCTCAAGCCGGTGAACTAAATGGTAAGTTTCCGCGGTTATTCTATGCCAAGAACAGCTTAATGGAACAATTCGAGAACGTCTGGTCAACTGTGTCTCCGAATTCCTTCCTTTATAAGATTGGCATATAGTAGTTGGGGTGCTCTGCTCTATTGTCACACCCTCTTTAATGTCATGTTTTTGTAGTAATGAGTCCTCTGAGAGCATCTTTGAACCTCTAAAAATAGCCTAGAGAGCTGTGTACTCTTGGCTTCCAAAGGTCCCAGCTCCGTGGAGCCGCATGTGCATCATTTGCGGACTTTTGTTTTTTAACAGAGCCTATCAGGCATGAGTAACCCGTAGCCAGGGACAAGGGACCCCTCGACGCCGCTGCTCAGGTACAGCGGTTTGAAGGCTAATTCTGGCTGGATAAGAGCTTTGCCTAGTGGCAGACATCGGGCATCTGGGCTGCCTTTATCCTAGCGAATATCTGTCTGTGTACCACAAACAGTAATGAGGTTGATAGTTGTACAAGAGTACAAGAGTATACAAGCTCAAAGTGTTCTTTGTCTTCTCTGGAATTTGTGACAATGACGAATACGTGCAGCCAAGACATTATAGATCATACCTAAACTTGTGCGTCGGAGAAGAATCGGAGACTTTCAAGCAAATATCCATAGATCGGTTACCATTTTACCAAAATGAGGATCAAAGAACAAGGGCAGGACAGAACGGAACGGGATGAGACAGGAAAGGACCCCTCCCCCAGGTCTTGACTGTCCATCATCTCCACAGTCAATTGATCCATTCGGCATCGCTCTAATTAACGCCGTTGACAGTCCTGTCGTTCATCTCCACTATTCAAAAGTTACGGAATCTATCTTATCATCCAAGCCCAAACCCGATAAGACGAAAGACACACCACCAAAAACAAATCCCTCCACTCTCCGGTCCGGCCTTCGCTCGGAGCTCGCCATCTTCCCTTCCGTTAGCTAATCTCGACTTGACTTGTTCTTCTGTCAACTCGCGACAACTCTCCACTCAACCTCGTCTTCTTGTTCATTCTTCCTGTCTTTGCTCCTCTTCATCCGGTCGCCAGTACAATCGTCGCAATGTCTGCTGATCAGCCCCTCCCCTTCATGTACCAGTTCGCCGCAGGTACGCAATATCTCCCCGTTCGCCCGTTCAACCTTAAAACGTTTCCCCCAGACTCAATGGCTAATTCGAGGTGAATAGGCGCCATTGCTGGTGTCTCGGAGGTATGCTCATCTGAGTTTTATCCCGTTGAGAGCCGTTGCTAATTTTGTGCTGGCTGTAGATTCTGGTGATGTAAGTCCGCTTCTGTCGCGTGCTCAAGATATTTTAGCTAACAAGACCTCAGGTACCCTCTTGACGTTGTCAAGACCCGAGTGTATGACCAACCTCGCGTGCGCTTTTCGAAATACTATACAATCGCTAACTAAACAATTAGCCAACTGCAGACTGGTTCCGGCGCCACCGCTGAGTACAATGGCATGCTTGATTGCTTCCGCAAGATCATCAAGCAGGAGGGGTACGCTTTGTGCTCACCACTTAGATATAGCGCTCGCAGCTAACAAAATTCGCCAGTTTCTCCCGACTCTACCGTGGTATCTCCGCCCCCATCCTTATGGAGGCTCCTAAGCGAGCTACCAAGTTCGCTGCCAACGATGAATGGGGCAAGGTCTACCGAAAGATGTTTGGCATGGAAAAGATGAACCAGCCTCTTTCAGTCCTCACCGGTGCCACTGCTGGTGCCACCGAGTCTTTCGTCGTCGTTCCCTTTGAGCTCGTCAAGATTCGTCTGCAAGACAAGGCCTCTGCTGGAAAGTACAACGGCATGGTCGACTGTGTCGTAAAGACTGTCAAGAACGAGGGGCTTCTCACTCTTTACCAGGGTCTCGAGAGTACCCTATGGCGCCACATCCTCTGGAACGCTGGTTACTTCGGTTGCATTTTCCAGGTCCGACAAATGCTTCCCAAGGCTGAGACCAAGAAGGCTCAGATCACCAACGATCTCATTTCTGGTGCCATTGGTGGTACTTTCGGAACCATGCTCAACACTCCTCTTGATGTCGTCAAGAGCCGAATCCAAAACACCCCCAAGGTCCCTGGCCTGGTCCCCAAGTACAACTGGGCTTTCCCTGCCGTCGGAACTGTGCTCAAGGAGGAGGGTTTCAGTGCTCTGTACAAGGGTTTCTTGCCCAAGGTAAGTCATCTTATCGGATAGAGGGCGCGAGGTACTAACAACTCTTCAGGTTCTCCGTCTTGGTCCCGGAGGTGGTATCCTCTTGGTCGTGTTCACAACTGTTATGGATACCTTCCGCAGCTGGCACTACCCTGTTACCAGTGCCCTTAAGAACTAGATTATAAAATGAGAATAAGGTCAAACGAGCATAGAAAGATACCAAACCACATTTAGGCGGTCTCCGGAGGAAATCAAATTCTGGAACAGCATGCTAGAATCTAATTCTTACCTACGCATCCTGTCAATTCAGATCAGATGATGTAGAGGAGCAAGAACAAGGCGTTTTACTTCGATGTTAGCTACAGCATTGAATAGAGCTTGAGTCGAGTCATTCTGTATCTGCAATTCCCATAACGTGCTTGTTGCTCTTATATAAGGTGAGTTTGAATAAAAACAAAGCCAACACTGGCTTGCCAGAATCAGGATTCTCATATATCATCGCAAGTGAATCTTTTTTATAGATTGTTAAACATAGAACTTGCATGTGGTGCCTTGTTGTATATCATCTTCGATGTGGGTGTCCCTTTGACGTCCGCTCCGTGTAGTAGCAGCCTGACTCTCATCTCCTCGCAGCTACCGACTTGCACGGAACTTCACAGGTTGGCTTCCTCGTAGCTCCACCTCTATCATATATACCGCACCACCAATTCCGGGCTTCTCTATACTTAGGCTTCCTCTTCTCCTCTTCTTCTCTTTTAGCTTAGATGTCCACTCATTCTATTCTAACTTAGGCCTCCTTTTATTCTCTTTTAGCCTAAACTTTCTCCTGAATCTCTTATATCTTTTATGATATCTTCTAACATCTTATGGTCCCTTCGACAGTGATTCATCATCCCTTCCAGATCTCCTATATAAAGCCCCCTGTATTCCGTCTTCTCTCATCTCTCTTCTTCTTTCTTCCTTCATCATCATCTACAACAACCATCCTCATGGCGGACGAAGGCCTTGATGAGGTAGACTTCATCGATCTCAACCCTGATGATGACAATCATTCAGAGTCAGATCATGAGGATGCGACACCTGTCCCATCGATTGAGGACAACGACGCCGACAACGAGTCCGCCTCATCCGACGACGGCGATGAAGGAGCTTTAGACGCCATCGACATTGATGATCCCTTCAATGATGATGATGAAACGGAAGAAGACGAACAGCGATTCCGAAATAAGGATCCTGATGCGGAGCTTATGGTGGCTCTGGCAGAAGATGGTATTCCCATGCACGACCGGAATGCGCTGGCACAGTTCTACCTCGAGTATCGACAACGCTTCCTCGAAAAGAGAGCAGATCTGCAAGATTGCAGAGAATTGAACAGAGGCAGGGTGAGACACCTCAACCGACAGGTCGCGGCTTTGGAGGAAGCAGTCGAAGAATTCTACGCAGTATATACTCTGAATGCCGAGGAGAACAGCAGACTTGCTGAAGAGAACGATGCTCTTCGAGAGTTCCTCACAGAGGACGACCTGGCCGATTTCCCAGAGCCTGAACCACACATTGACTTGTTAGCATCCTTGCCTCGGCCCGTCTGGAATAGGCTGCCAGAGAGCACCCAGGTGTACCTAATCCAGGGGCCACGACATGTGCTACGAGCTGGGAGCCGCCGGAAGACTGAGAGGGTATGTACTCATATCCATTCCAACATCTCATGATATCAGATTACTGACAGATCGTAGGAATGGCCAACCGCGGCCGAGGACTTTCTCGCAAATAGTCCTGAAAACGTCTACAAAACCTGGGGGGATATCTACAAGCTCTCGTGTCAGGAAGAGAACATGTCTTGGGCTTTCGGAGAAGGCAGACCGCCAAAAACACACCCGTACCTGAAACTTATGCCTCCGACGAAGAGTCAGGAGGAGAGTGGAAAAGCTGGTGCTTTGGACAGTTGTACTCCTCCACCTACACCACGCGAGAGCGAGTCCTCGGATAAAGAAGAAGAGATTCGGCCGTTTCGCTTCCAAAGTCTTCCCAAAAAGATCCAGCTCAAGATCTTTCGTCATGTTCTCGTTTTCGATGGCGTTGTTCACACTGTGTCTCGACTCGATCCTTACTACGAGCCAGAATCATTGCATCGAAACTGCAATGGCGAGACGACACTCCTTCATCGGTTCCACATTGGAAGGGAGCCTGTCTCTCTGACTTTCGGTACTATTCATCCCCAGAGACTTCTTGCTCCTCTCCTGGTATGCAAAGCCTGGAATGCGATTGGTTCCCATCTATTCTATGGGATGAACACCTTTGCTTTCTCTTCCGTTGGCGAATAGGGTCGCTTTGCGAAGAACATTGAGTGTAAACTCCAAATTGTGCAGCACGTCGAGCTTCTTTGGATGGGCGCCCAAAGACTGACATATGAGGTTGACAGCAAGGGCAAGTATACGTCTCGCAGAACCCATGACTTGGCTTACCTCACTGGGGCCTGTCGTCTGAAGACAATGGCGGTTCACATACCAGAGTCTTCGAAGGAATACATGCGACGCAAGCATGAGCCCCGGGACATGATCGAGTACATGGAAAAACTCACACGAAAGCAGCCGAACTATCGGCTCTTCCGCGCATTGCGTACCGCCCAGGGGCTTGACTACATCTATTGCCTTCGTGGTATGAAAGAAGTCACCTTCTGGGACTACGACAAATGGCTCAAGGAGGGGGAGACCAGGGTGCCAGTCCGTGACTGGACTTTTGTTCAGGACATCAACAATTGTGTACGTCGAGAGAAATCGCACCACGATGATCACTTCTCTCAAATCTGCTACTTGGCACCCGTAATGGAAGGGTGTCGTCCCAGTGCCGCGCTCGCTGCGAGACTTGAGGCATTCGTCAATCGGCCTACAGGGCTCCTTACACCACCGCCCGACTTGTATCCACTACTCCAGAGTTCTGTGGGCAATCCCATCGTTGTCCATGGTTCTGATGATGGAGAGGATTCTGATAATGAGCTTGGCAGTGAAGCTGAGGATGACAGTGAAACTGAGAATGGCAGTGAAGCTAAAGATTCAGATGGTGAGAGCAATCCTGACGACGATGATGATGACGACGATGATGGTGGTGGAGACGATGCTGTTGCTACTGACAATATCGAGACTATTGATATCAGTGACGATGAAGCTGATGACGAGGATGAGGATCATGGCGAAGCTGGAGATGGCACGATGGAAGTCACTCACGCAGCAGAAGCCGACAGAGTGGCGATGCCGCCACCAGCAGCTCCTATGCGTGAGGATTCGCCTGGACATGGAACAGAATCGTCATTGTTCGTACCCAGCGCTACCCCTGAGTCTCCCCGTCCATTTTTTGTCCAGAAGCTGGAAACACCATCATCACCAGGAACCTCATCTCACTCCGAAGGCACTCCAGCAAGAGCAAATCGTGAGGAGAGTTGCTTGTTTGTAGGCTCTCCCCTTCCGCCTCCAGTGAACCGAGAGTCACCGATCGACATGACTCAGGATATTGACATGCCTGAAGATCAGAACAAACGGTCATTTGACTCTTGCAGCAAGGATGATGATGACGATGATTGTCGCTACATGGGAAGCTCCCCCAAGAGGATTAAAACTGAAAATGGTAAGGGTGGCAGTGGTGTTGAGGGCGGTGGCAGCGGGAATGATGCCAATGCGAGCTCTAGGCCTTTCATCATAGATTATGAGGATTGATTTGCTATTTTCGAGCGAAAGGTGAAGATTTCGGGTTGATTTGCAGGTGAAATGATTAGGACCGGGAATGGGAGATTTGGTGATGATTTTGCTATGGAGCTATTTCAAGGTTCGGATGGAGATATTTTTGGGAGGTCCTGGAGATGGAATGCGCGATATACCCCAATTAGTAGGTTGACAAATCGCCTACCAAGGTGAGATACACCGGTATCTACAGTACACGATAATAATAATCCCCCAATTGCCCCCTAATCGTTTCATGGCAAGATTCAAGTGCCTTCAATGCATCAGCATATAGGGTAAGATCTCAGTAAGTCTAAACAGCTTAATTAACACGGCTAGTGGGTAACAGAAAAGTCAAAGTCTAAGCTCTATGAAACAAAAATAAGTAATCTAAGTAGCAGAGCCTAAAAAGCATGAATTGTCCCACTAATTTCGTCTCTTATGCTCCTAATAGCCAATTTTTCTGATACCCTGGGACGGTTAGGGGTCTCGGGAACGTGACGTAGGTCTTTCCTAATATGGACAGCGGGTGCAAATCACACTTACGCCTGTGTGAGTTAAATCTCAGCCACAGTTAACGACGCTACCAAAATGGACTTCCAAGAGCTCCCAATAGAGTACAGACAAGAATCAAATTTGAGCCGACATGAACCAAAGCATCCAAGTCATCATGCAAGAAAGAAAGTAACTATCAATCTAAACACGCATACATACGCAAGATCCAAGACCCCCGCAAATCTTGGCATAGCTCTCTCTTAGCTGGCAAGTGAAAATGGATACGTAATCAGCTTGCAGTGCCACAACCCGTCTCTCTAGTTGCCTTAGGCCTTGTTTCTAGGCCTGTGCAAGCAAGCCCGGTAGGTGTGAGTTCCCAATCCCCAATCCCAATCCGCATGAGAGCGCCAATTCATCATCCTGCACTCACCCATCCTTTTTCCCTCGCTGAGAGTCGCGTCAAGAGCGCCTTTATTCCTCTAATCGCTGCTCCGACACGCCCGAACCTAACTTCTTTTTATACTTCGATCCGCCTCTCCAATAACACCTTGGTGCTTAGCCGCTTTCTTCCTGTCTCTTATATACTCGTGTCCGGTCGGTCTCCCCGACCTCTTGAAATCGAGACCTAATCGATCACCCCACGAATTGTATTCTCCAACCTCCTCCACAAACGATCTCCCTACAGATCGCCAATTCCAGATCAAACGGCGACTAAAAATTGTCTTATTTGATCGCGATCTCACGCAAACATTGCTGAGAGCGGCACTGGTTATACCGTCATCACTGGAGCTCGCTCGTTCTATCCCCTCAACGCCCCTCCCGGTACTAGTTCCGTTGACTCCGTCTCACGAGCGCGCATCTCAAGTTCGAGTCGCATAAACTGTCGCTCGAAAAGCTCAAACGTTTCCATCGTTGCCTCAAGTCTCGTCGAATCACCCAAGGAAACCCTATATCGGCCGATCGATTGGTGCTCACGAAGCATACCTACCTCACCTATTAAACCACCTGTTCGAGATCCCACAGTACAAATCACAAATCGCCCATCATGTCCAAGGTAATGCGAAGTGTCAAAAATGTGACCAAGGGTTATTCCAGCGCCCAGGTCAAGGTCCGAGAAGGTTAGAAACTACCGCGCAATCCGTGTCCCTGGATCACCATCGCTGACCATGTACACGCAGCTACTAGCAATGATCCATGGGGTCCGACGGGTACCCAGATGAGCGAGATTGCTCAAATGACATACAACACGTACGTAGACGATCTGCGCATCGCTGGGTTACCAATCATGATGTGAAGTACTGACTTGGCATGACGCGATTAGATCAACCGAGTTTTACGAGATCATGGACATGATCGATAAGCGCCTGAACGATAAAGGCAAGAACTGGCGTCACGTCTTGAAGGCACTCAAGGTTTTGGATTATTGTCTCCACGAAGGCTCAGAACTTGTCGTCACATGGGCTCGCCAGAGCATCTATATCATCAAGACTCTCCGTGAATTCCAGTATGTTGATGAGGAAGGTCGTGACGTAGGACAGAATGGTAAGTACCGGCTTTGTGTCGCATTAGGCGGTTTCTAACATATCTATAGTCCGAGTTGCCGCCAAGGAGTTAACCTCCCTTATTCTTGACGAAGAAAGATTGCGAGCCGAGCGAAGCGACCGAAGATCCTGGAAGTCGCGCGTTACTGGCCTCGAAGAGTTCGCCCCTCAGCACGCTGAACCTGTGCACCAGGCAAACCGACGACAGCAGCCAAGAAGACAAATGAATGAAGAGGAAGATGCTGAATATCGCCTGGCTCTCGAAGCAAGCAAGTACCAGGAGGAGGAAGACAGAAAGAAGCGCGAGAGCCGGCCCGAGGACGATGACGATCTTGCGAAAGCAATCAAGCTTAGTGAGGAAGAAGAGGAACGAAGGCGCAAGGAGCTAGAGAACAGTAATGCTGCTTCCCTCTTCGACGATGATCCCACGCCTTCGCAGCAGACCAGTCAGCCACAGTACACTGGTTTCAATCAGGGTTACCAGCAAGGCAACCCCGTTGACTTCTTTGCCAACCCTATTGAACAGAACCAGCCTCAGCCTACTGGCTATATGAACAACGCCTACACTGGTTTCCAGCAGCCTCAGCCTACTGGTTTCCAGCCAAACTACAACCCAGGCTTTGGGGGCCAACAGACTGGCATGGGTTTCGACCCATTTGGCCAGCAGCAGCAGCAGCCTCAACAACAGCAAAGCTTCCAGCCTCAACCAACTGGTTACAACCCATACCTGCAACAACAGCAGCAGCAGCAGCAGCAGCCTCAACAGCAATCCTTCTCCTCACCAGCGTCTCCCGAGCCTACTCTCCAGCCTGGTAGCAATAACCCTTGGGCAACCAGCAACAGCCAGCAGCAATCGATGCAACCAACCCCTACTGGCTCCAACAACCCCTTCGCCCAGTTTGGCCGTCCCCAATCCGCTCGACCAAACCCCATGTCATCCTTGGGAGCGCTACCCGAACAGAAGAGCCTCAACTCATTCGGCAACCAGTCTCAACCTCAACCCCAGCTACAGCAACAAAACAGCTTCCCTATGCAATCGCAGAACAGCTTCCCTCAGTCGCAACCCTCATTCAACGCTCCTCAAAAGGAGATGAGCGAGCACGAGACTCGACTCAACACTTTGCTTGCCAGTGGCGATGGCATGGATACCTTTGGTAACACAGGCAACCTACGTATTCCTGCTCAACATACGGCTCCTGGCACATTTATCAACAGTGCTGGCTCAGGTGCTGCTCGCATTAACGCTGAGGCCACCGGAAACAACCCTTTCCTACGACAACAGTTCACAGGCATGCCCACAGTTAACTATGGTGCTCAGATGCCAGCCGCTACCGGACCTGCAGGTATGAATGGCCAGACTAACAACCCCTTTGCCCATCAACAGGCACCGCAGCAACAACAGCAAAACAATGACTTGATCCAATTCTAATCTACGTTGTAAATTGTCAACTTAACCCTGTTAGTAGGTGGTTAGGCAGATTCACTGGTTGCCGAGGAACCATCTGCTTGATTGCTTTCAACTTTTCTTTGTTGTGTTCATCTTCATCTTCCGGTTTGAACCCGATTCCCGTTTTCTGTGCAGGCGAAGGATGGTATTCCCCTGTTCTCGGTGTTGTTTTGTTCTATCAAAGCCTGGCATGTAGGAGGTCTAGTTGTGATGGGAATGGGAAAGCTTTTGTGGATTTTGGGGATTTAGAGAGCGCCCCTGAAGCATTCAAAAAAACAATTCTTAGATCTTATTGAAATCTACTCCTGACTCCGTCGTATCCTTATGGCGCCATTTCCTTTTTCCTGTTTCAATGTCTCCAATGTGCCTTGACGGAGAAAACCTTGCTCTGAATCAACCTGGCACGACCATGTGGCTTGACTTGGCTAGCCTAGTCGTTCATACATGCGGCTCAATTATGGGGTTGCAAAGATGGTTGTGACTTGTGAGACAGTGTCGTTAGTACCACTTCGCGACTACGACTTTGTCAGCGCCAGCCTACGATTGAGCAACAAGCTCAACAAGCGATCATTCACGCCTGTTACGCCTTGCGGTGACCGCGCAAACCCCGACACCGGATGCCAAAAGCGGCATTGTTTTCTCCTACCGCCATCGGCCGACATGCTTTGGTATTTGTTCCGTCCCTGAGCTTGCTGTGATTGGAATTAACCAGCCTCCTCCATCATTTGGATGAATTCTTCCAGGTTGACGCCGCCCTTGCCTTCGTGATCCAGATGCTCGATCATACTCTGAATTTCCTCATCTGTCATCGTCCTCTCTTCCTTAATATCAGAAGCCAGACGTCGCATGTCTTCGAATGAAATCACACCATCGCCATCGTAATCAAACATGTTGAATACCTTTGTCGCTTCTTGTCTAGGATCCCGACTGGCTAGTAGTTTTGCAGCACATAACCGGAACTGATCCAAGTAAACGTAGAGGCGGTTGACAGGGCAGGTATGCGGGTCTTGCCATTCGGGAGGTACTGAGCCGTAGGATTGTAATTCTCTGAAATAGTCGGGCTTGGACATATCGAAGCCTAGAGCTGCTAACGAGTGTCGGAATTCATAACTGTTGAGCCATCCCTTCTTTTTCATATCCATTAAGTCAAACTGGTAGGAGGGATTATTAATGGGCGTCGTTCTCGATGCGAGTCGGGTTCAGCTTACAACTTCGTCAATATGTTCGCGATCCTCTTCAGGAATCGTGCTATACTCCTCGTTCGCCGAAACCTGAGGAGCAACAGGTTGTCTTGATTGTGGAGGAATTCCAGAGCCACCTAGAGAGCGTCCTTGAAAGGCAGTACGTGGCGTTGCATGCGAATTCATGGTGATGATGATTGCTGAATGTGGTTGGTAGGATTCGGAAAAAAGGCAGTAGCCGAGTTATCGGTATGGGATATAATCGCGCTGCGATGAAAAAAAGGAATGCGATAATTCGAGGCTAGTTATGATCGCGAAGCTCAAAAATAGAAAAAAAGCACTACACGGGATGTCGGGAAGACGTTGGAAGAGAAAGGCGCAAGGGTTGGCTTGGTGTTGTTGCTTGTAGTCAATTCGCTGAGATCTAGGAGCTTGGGTTGCGACGCGACTACAGACGTAGACGCGGTGTACGACTACCCAACTTAAAAAAAATGGCACTAACACATTTCGAGGCAGATGTTTACCCATGGTCAAAGTATTGGAAAATAGGATTGTTCCCCTATATCTGATTATAAAAATGATAAATGCATGCGATTGAAGAACTTGTTCATCGGGATCAAGTACTTCGATTCGAGCCTCGACTGATAAGGACTCTTTTTGATGGACAAACAATCTGATCATCCGTTGCTGTGACTTAAGTTTGTTTTCGAAGGTGGGGACGAAAAGGAGTACTGAAGAAACTACCTGTCATTATCTTGCTGCCATTGAATCTTCCAAGGGTTTTCACAGCTGGCATCAAGCAATTCAATATCGGATTGAAAATCATAATTAGTAATTGGTATATTACAAAGACCAAGTGATGAAGAAATATGTCACCTGAAGACCATCTTTTTGTAACTCTTCACATTCAGGCGCGTTCATGGCCAATAGGCCAATTAGAACGCGCGACTGGTTGACGATGAGTCTGCCTTGGTACCTTTGCGACAGGTAGATGCATGGCAAATCACAGGCAGCAGTGACTCAGGCAGCAAGTAGTGTTATACTTGAATGTGATTGGTCCAAATTCGTCACCATCCCAGCTAAGACCAATCAGAGGTGGAAAGTTATTGTCTGAGGCAGCAACAAGCTACAGCCAACCTGCCTGAAGAGCAAAGGTTCGCCCCGAAAAAAAAGCTGGCTAGATGACAGGAGCGACAGACTGACCTCACCACCAACTTCATCGCCACGAGCTTTTGAGAGTATAAGGGTGTAACCTCTCCTGGTCCTAGCACTTTCATTATCTCTCCCATACGCTCATCTCTTTCATTTACTTAATATTCAATTTCTTCTTCTTGTGCGACCTTTCCCAACTTTTTGCGGCCACTGCCGCTGTACAGTGCTGATTGCAGCTACATTCCCCTTGGCCCTATCATCTGCAGTGTGCTGCGACCCAGCTCGTGTTTTCACCTCGCAGCTCGAGACAAAGCTTTGCGCCATCTGTCGCGAGGGAAAGTTTTTGCTTTCATCTAATTTTCGATAACGAATTCCTGTTGTCATCGCGATCAGTGTCGATTCGTCCATCGATTTTCGCGACGAGAGCTCTTCTCCTAGCGTCAAAACGCAAACGCGCGACGACTGCTTCGCTCGCATACGAACAAGCTTACATCGACCCCGAACCGCGCCAGCTGCGTGACAACAATCATGTCCTTCGGCGGCGGTTTCGGAGGCTTCGGCCAACAAAACAATAACAACAACGCCCAACCCTCAGGATTTGGAGGTTTTGGTGCGACCAACAACAACACTTCTACAGGTAAGCAACCTTTTTCAAACCATCGGGATGGTCGATGGCAGCGGTGCTGATTGGAATGCTCGAAAGGCTTTGGAGCTACCAATACTGGTGGTGGATTTGGCCAACCGAACACCACTCCTGCTTCTGGTGGCCTTTTTGGAGCCGGCAATAACAACACCACAGCAGGCGGCTTTGGCTCAACGACCGGTACGCAAATTCTGCCAACACGCACCGCTGTCATTCACGACCGAGAGGAAACGATGGGCGAGATGTCAAATCAATATGGATGTACTAACAATCACTAGGAGGTTTCGGCGCAACCAACACTGCCGGCGGTTTCGGAGCGAAGCCAGCCTTTGGGTCTACCACTGGCACAGCAGGCGGCGGTCTCTTTGGTTCCACTGCCACAAACACCACCGCTACCACTGGCGCAGGATTTGGGGGTTTCGGAAACACTGCGAATAACACCACAACGTCGGCGTTCGGCAGCAACACAGGAGGCGGCATGTTCGGAGGCAACACTGCCAACAAGACTGGCTTTGGCGCCGCGGCCACCACGGGTGGTTCGCTCTTTGGAGGTAGCAACACTGCGGCCGGTACCTCGAGTGGATTTGGTTCTGGCTTCGGTACTGCCAATACCAACACCATTGGCGGCGCCGCAGGCGACCCTCCCGGTACTGCTGTTGCCGCTTTCCAGGCCCACAACGAGAAGGAAGCAAATAGTACTTCCACCAACTCATACCAAAACATCCTGTTCCAGGACCCTTACCAGAAGTTTTCTGCCGAGGAACTCAGGCTCACTGATTACGTTCAAGGGAGACGGCATGGTAATGCTACTGGCGGTGGTGCGTTTGGAGTGAGCTCTGGTTTTGGCGGAGGGTTTGGCGCTAACACGAACACCACCGCGACTTCAGGTTTCGGGGCGAACACAACGAACAACACTGGCGGCGGACTCTTTGGATCAAACACAACCAACAATACCGCAGCCCCGAGCACTGGCTTTGGTTCTACTGGCTTTGGTGCTACTGCCAACAACAACACCGCCACCGGTGGAGGAATGTTTGGCAATACCGCGAATAAGCCCGCCGGAGGTCTATTTGGAAGTAACACTGCGCAGACGAATACAACCGGCGGTGGCCTCTTCGGAGGAGGAGGAAATCCTGCCACAACAGGTGGTTTCGGTGCCACGAACACGACTGGAACCGGCTTTGGTCAGACGAACACCAACACCACGGGAGGCGGTCTCTTTGGCAACACCCAGAACAAGCCTGCCGGTACCGGCTTCAGCTTTGGCAACACAAATACCAACAATGCTACGGGTGGGTTTGGAGCGACTGGTACGACGAACAGCGCGTTCGGAGCCAACAACACGGCCCAGAGCACAGGCGGTGGCCTCTTTGGCGGCAACAACAACACCCAAGCTGCCAGCACTGGTGGTGGTCTCTTCGGCCAGAACAATAACCAGGCTCAGCAAACTACTGGCTCCGGTCTCTTCGGTGGCCAAAACAACCAGGCTCAGCAGCAATCTGGCGGTTTGTTCGGCAATAAGCCTGCCGCTCCCGCTGGGGGTGGAGGCATGTTCGGAGGAGGCGCTGCGACCCAGACGAACACTGGCGGTGGCCTTTTCGGAAACACACAGCAACAACCAAATACGACTGGCTTTGGCGCAGCTAATAACAATACTGCTTCAGGCGGTCTGTTTGGCAACAAGCCCGCTGCTCCTAGCGGGGGCATGTTTGGAGGAGGTGCTACCACCCAGGCGAACACTGGCGGCACTGGAATGTTTGGCGGACTGGGTTCGAATAACCAGGTCCAGCAGAACACCGGCACCGGTCTCTTCGGCAACACCAACAACCAACAGCAGAAGCCTGGTGGTCTCTTCGGAAGCAGCACAGCTAACACCAGCGGCGGTCTCTTCGGGGGCCAGAATAACCAAAGCGCCGGAAACTCGTTGTTTGGCGGCAGCATGAACCAGCAGCAGCAGCAAAATGGCTCGTCAATTCTCGGCAACAGCCAGTCTGCCAATGCTCCTC